ACCCAGGAGCAGATAACTCCGTTAACTCAGCTTGCTTTCACCTCTTAAAGAAATGTTACCCCACACATTTACTTTTGATTGTCATCTTCTTCCAAGGGACTTCTTCAGTTCATGACACCATCTTGAACTGAAGTCCCTTGGATGAGGGACGAAACGTCTTCCGGTATCTTCAATCAAGTCCAGTTGCCCTTGACTTTAACTTTCGTTGGCTCATTCTACAGTAATAAAAACATAACGGTTCATTATGTAAGGTCTTTATACACCACTGAAAACATAGTTATGGATCTTATTGCATTTCTGTCAGTAGATCCTCCAGTAGAATATAACACACTGAACCTTTTAATTGCCAAGTAAAGCATGCAGTGAGTCAGTATATAGGTCTACTGTACATACTTGCTGTTAATGCTTTATTTTTTTTTATTTTTTTTTAATGCTGTACATTTTTCATGATTCATTTTATTTTTTCTCAAATGCTGTAGATTTCCTATATTCTGCTGTGAAGTGTGGTCACTGCAATTTTCATCATTTGATGTATTGTTAAAATAATAAAAATATTAAGAGCAGCTTTAAGATAACGGGAAAGATTGTAGTGTCATTGAAGATTTCAAAGTGCTTCAAGTCTATGAATTATATATATGAATTTTTCAGTCTTCACCAAGACCCCAATCTTTCTCAACCTAACCAAGTGCCAACAACAACAACAACCACCTATCGTTGACACTGCATGGGAAACTAATGAAATACAGTACTTTGACAGTGACTGTTTTACTGATAGATTTAGTTTGAGTATTTTGGGTAGGCTGTGAACACACTGCAGATACATTCAACTGAAATGTTTTCTTCTTCTGTTCATCAAAACAAAACAGTTATGTTTTGAAAAATACAGATTCACCTATTGGGGGTGGTATGCATTTGCACCAACTCAATTTTCTCTCCACTGCAAATGCTATTAGGAAATTGAATTCAATTTCACAGTCATGTAAGTGTCCTAAACCTGTACCTCCTATCTACACATATTGATACCATCTTGCATAAGTACAAGAGGTAGAAGAAATCTCTTTCTGCCAGAGAAAGGGTGGTGGGAAGGGGTGGAGCCTAGCCAAGTCTTCATCATTCATTCCACACTGTGTCGCTCAAAACATTTCTCTCGTTGTTTGTGAATTATACTGCCATAACAGGCAATTTGTCAGCCAAGCTATAATGTCAAACAATAGAATGATGTTAATCTCCTGTTATAAATATTTTTACATTGGCCTTGGAACAAGCACTTGGCCATGCTGCTGAAAATGTGCTACTGTGAGTTGAGAGTAATCCGGCAATAAATAACTGGGTCTGCATCACTAAATATTTGAACACTCCTTTCTCCTTGTCTTGTTTCATGCCAGGTAGCTGCTAGATATTTGAGAGTTTCCCCCTAAGAAGAAGAGTTGAGAATAAACCCACACCCAGACTAAATACAAAGTATTAAGTGACCGTTTGCTAAACCTGGCAGAACAATGAACGGTGGTGCATGTAGCTCTAGTAAGAGTGATACTTGTTGCTTAAGTTTGTTTCTGGTTTTTTTTTTGGGGGGGGGGGGGTTGTACCTGTTACAAAACTAAAAACAACAATGTGTGTATATCCACTTTCACAAAAGTTGGCTTGACTTGTTATTAGATAATTGCACTTTTTGTGGGGCTACAAGAAATGTTAGAACAATACCTGTACAGGATTGGATAATTGCAGTCTTTGGGAGCCAGAATGCTAGTATATTAGTATCATGTACCTTTTTTATTCACAGACATCACAGTGTGGCTATAAGGTCATAGCTGATGGACTGGTAGTCTAGCATACTAATATTACTTAAATTAGTGTTTCTCAATGGGTCACTGGAAGCAATATTTTGGAAAGGGGGGGGCAATGAGCTGCTCTTGGGAGGTGTTTGTTTTAATACAGGTTTACACCAAATATTCACAACAATATAACTTTAAACTACAACTAAACCTGTTACTTTCTCTGAGGAATACCCATGATTATCCACCACAGTACCCATCTTGTATCGCAGTGGTTACCCATTTACAAGAGGGATATTCCGCTGTCAGACTTGGCATCCAGCGGCTAATGCCACCCCAGCAAATGCTGTGAGAGTAATCAAGGGGACCCACTTCGCGGCATGAGTCGCAGAGAGTTTGTGACCGTAGTAACGTAGCTGGGAGTATTTTGCAATATAAAAATCTAAAAACTAAAGCGCAACCTTGCTGTGTGGATCTGTGGTGAGATTTCTGCTTGACAAGTGTATTCAGATTTCAGATTCGGTTTCTTTTTGCACCTCCTTGTCTCATCCAGTTCTGTGTCTGTCAGATGGTCTAAAGGTGAGACAACCGTTTCAGTAGAGCAATAATGCAGGCTAATGGACAGCAGAGAAGGCTACAGGCAGGTAGTAAAACTATTATGAACTCATTAAATTATGACAATGGTCTCGTAATATTATGAATTTTTCTAAACATGTCAGAATACAGATGTGGACTGGATTTTGAATGTGCAGAAAGTTTTGAACATGAGCAGAAAACCTGCTGAAACACAGGAGCTATTCAAGTCCAGGAGTTTATAACTGAATTAAAATTAATTTATCATTGAGGTGAAAAGGTTAACAGTTATTTCCCCAAACAAAGACATAAGAGGAGTGTAACTAAATCATGTGTTGACTCAGCATGGATTTAATTAAATGAGAAAGTTGATCTACAGAAGAAAACACATTTAAAAGCAATACAGAATGCCTGAGAGCCTTACTACATTGTATTCTGTTAGTTTTTTTATTTTGAATTGTAATGAAATGTTCTGGGGGGGGGGGCACACTTAGATGTTCCATCCAGTGTTGACACTAAACCAATGCTTCCGCTAATACTGTTACCTACACTGCTCAAAAAAACAACACAATGTAACTCCAAGTCAATCACACTCCTGTGAAATCAAACTGTCCACTTAGGAAGCAACACCGATTGACAATCAATTTCACATGCTGTTGTGCAAATGGAATAGACAACGGGTGGAAATTATAGGCAATTAGCAAGACACCCCCAATAAAGGAGTGGTTCTGCGGGTGGTGACCACAGACCACTTCTTCAGCTCATCCAGGATGGCACATCAATGTGAGCTGTGGCAAGAAGGTTTGCTGTGTCTGTCAGCGTAGTGTCCAGAGCATGGAAGCGCTACCAGGAGACAGGCCAGTACATCAGGAGACGTGGAGGAGGCCATAGGAGGACAACAACCCAGCAGCAGGACCGCTACCTCTGCCTTTGTGCAAGGAGGAGCAGGAGGAGCACTGCCAGAGCCCTGCAAAATGACCTCCAGCAAGCCACAAATGTGCATGTGTCTGCTCAAACGGTCAGAAACCGACTCCATGAGGGTGGTATCCAGCCCAACACTGTGCAGGACATTTGGCATTTGCGCCACTGGCGCCCTGTGCTCTTCACAGATGAAAGCAGGTTCACACTGAGCACATGTGACAGACGTTCTGCTGCCTGCAACATCCTCCAGCATGACCGGTTTGGCGGTGGGTCAGTAATGGTGTGGGGTGGCGTTTCTTTGGGGGGCCGCACAGCCCTCCATGTGCTCGCCAGAGGTAGCCTGACTGCCATTAGGTACCGAGATGAGATCCTCAGACCCCTTGTGAGACCATATGCTGGTGCGGTTGGCCCTGGGTTCCTCCTAATGCAAGACAATGCTAGACCTCATGTGGCTGGAGTGTGTCAGCAGTTCCTGCAAGAGGAAGGCATTGATGCTATGGACTGGCCCGCCCGTTCCCCAGACCTGAATCCAATTGAGCACATCTGGGACATCATGAAAGGAGTATTTAATGAGATTATTTCATTCATTCAGATCTAGTATGTTATTTTAGTGTTCCCTTTATTTTGAGCAGTGTAATTTAAGTTGAATGAAAGGGCGGTAAGGGACCTGGATAATGGATAGGGGGGTACGAAATGTACGAAAAGATTGATGCCGGAAAAGGGGCAAAAATTTGAACCAGGGCTGTACCCTTTCAAACTGAAGACAAAAGCCAGAAGTCAGTGAGTGTTGGTGGGGGTTTTTGTCCAGTAAAAAGGGCTATGGGTTAGAGTACACTACAGAAACACAAACCAAACTTGCATCAGATAGAGATAACTCATCAGATTTTCCCCATCATCAAATCCATTTCTCTTGTAAAAGTAAAGCATACTGTTTAAAAGTACAATAAAGTGTCTCCTATCCAAGTGCAATTTTCTATACTAACTTTTCTGTAGGGCTAACTGCCCTGCAATACACAATCAACATCTGAGGATGGGGACTTGTAGTTTTAGCCAGTTCTCTTTTAAAAAAGTCAACTGAAAACATCAAAGTCAGGTGGAGATGGAGTTTTCAAGCCAAAAGAGTACTTTAGCATTATGTCTGCTAGAAATTAGAAGGATGTTTTTACTTACTTCTGTGTTAAATCAAAGATTTGTTACTAAGAATTTTATGTAGTAAATATGCCACTGTTACCATTGTGTTGGCGTATACTATATATTGTGCTAGAATGGAAAGCAAGAGTAAGTGGGCCAGGCTTAGCTAACAATCAATTGTTGTTCAAATATATGTTTTTAATGAAATTCAAGTTCAATAATATTAGTGGCTGCAGGCTAAACCCCTCCAGTCAGTTTTTTTAAGACTGAAAAAAATTAATGTATCCATGCAGCCAAGCTTTGACTTTGACAGTTTGGCGTCTGCACTGGGAGCTGGGGATGTGGGGTAGCGTGCACAAACCAAGCAGCCAACTTTTAAAAAGGGAACAACAGGGAGAGACAGGGAGACATGGCAGTCATACATTCTCTTTTCATCTCCTTGTTTTCTCCACATTCCTCCATCTGCCTTCACATACACGCTCAGATTAGAAAGCAGTGAAATTTGCTGGACATAACAGGTGCAAGTGCTTTTTATTTGTTTGTATCTTTAACCTTCTTTCTTTCGTCTGTTTTCAGACCCAGCTGTTCTAGTATTCTGTGCTGAGTTTTTTCAAATCTCCATCTTGTCAAGATTCAAACAGCATCTGCTGAAAACACAGGTGTCTTTGCTGCAGAGTGAGTCAAAACTCCCCTGGAAGCCTTGTCAAAATACAAGCTTTTTAATGGGTCTCGTCATAGTAATTTCCTTTGTTCCAATTGCCTCTGATTTCTTCGTCACCAGATGAGCAGCTGGCTCCAGGTGTGAACAACTTGCACAACGGTGTTGTAAGAAATCAACTACATTCACTCCAAAGACCGTAGAAAAGAGAACATCAGAATAGACACCATATCTACCTACCATTTCAAATTTTATATTTTCAAATTCCAAGACAAAGTATAGGCTCATACACATACACAAAATAAGAATATTGAAAGTTGTAGTGAAAACATACAGTACTGACAAATAGCCCAATTAGATCTATGTAATTCTTTCCAAATGAATGCAGTGTTTAATTTATGTATCAGTTACACTACATTGATTATTCATGTACATAGTTCTGGCACACAAGAGCACTGTAGGCTTTTATTTTTTAATGACTACAAAAGAACCTCCCTGTAGTTTATATTCCTCTATGGACGGCCATTCAGCCCAACACTTTCCATATCAAACATAGATACTGTAAATTAAAAATAAAACAATTTGTAAAGGGGGTGATCATTATTTTCCTTCACATTTGATTACAAAATTCAACGTAGACTTCTATTCCAGGGACATTAAGACCCTGTTAAAACCCAACATACCTTGTGTCGCCTTTGTTCTACCCATACAGGTGTTTTCACTTATTTTCCTGATTTGACATCTCTTCCAGACTGTGTGGGTGTGTACAGACTATGCTTGATTGACATCTCCTTCACTCTCCTCTCTGTTATGGTGAGACAAATGACACCTTTATCATTATTGGGGCAAGTACCCTGTAGAGGTTTATTGTGAACAAACAAAAGTTACATTTTAAATTTAGTGTCACTCACCAAAACAAACTGTCACCCTGAGCTGTAAGAATGCATTTCCTTCCTCTTAAGTATTTAAATCCAGCATTGTTTACATCCATGTTTACTTGCTGGCAGGTTCCTCCTTCTTGCCTTTGTTGGAACATTGCAGCATGTCTTGGCATGTTACAGCCACCTGTTGATTAGTGGAATAGTGCGAAACCATTGGCAGGTGTGTATCTGCATCCTTTGTGTGCATGCACAATATAAACAAAACTGCCTTTAAGTTTTGTGTGTGACATTACATCCTTTTCCGGGACTGAGCGTGGGCCAGCTTCTTTCAAGAGCCAACCATATTAACAGGTGCAAGCACAGATTGTATATGCCCATTGTCCACATAGTCCTTAGAAGAGAAGTTATTAAACACCTGTGGTAGCGGAATTGAAAAGGGGTCACGGATTTTTATTTAGAGAAAATTGTGTGTTGCCACGTTTTTTATTGCTTTTAATTCATCAAGTGTCAGTAAGTCTGCCAAATGAGTACATGTAAGTGGTTTTCTGCATTTTTCCGGATTCAGCATGTATTCTGCCACAGTGTCTTTTTTTTGTTACTTCTACTGGGAGGTGTCAAACTCCCAATTCAACAGATTGTAGCTTTAACTGTTGATTATCAGACAAAGATTGATTAGTCTCCATGTTGCTTCTTGTCGTCTTCAGTCTACCTAAAATCACTGCAAAATTCAGTCCAAATAAGACATGAAATGTGTTACTCATGACAATCATATTCATAATGATATTTTCCACAAAATGTCGTGTGTGTGTGTGTGTGTGTGTGTGTGTGTGTGTGTGTGTGTGTGTGTGTGTGTGTGTGTGTGTGGTAACAATTTACTAGTCAAAGGGAGTTTTTCAAGGGATTTAACAGTCTGCTGAGGCGGGGAGTGATCCAGGTCCAGAATGGGAAATCCAAGCAAGATGGTTGAGCTGAAGCGGTGAAGGCAAAGCAGGTGGGCAAGCAAGTGACTGGCAGGCAGGTTTGAGTGGTTCACAGAAGATACTGGCGTGCTGGACCAGGGTAGATAATAGGCGGTTGATTGGAAACAAGTTGCAGGTGTGTGGAGGAGCCAGAAAAAACCACGCCCAACTCACAGGGAAAACAGACAGACAGGCACAACAGGATGGGGAAACAGAGAACAAAAGGTAAATAGAGGAGAGGGACCACTGGAGACAACATGAGGTTGAAGTCGATTGCATTGTGAAATTAATTTATTTCAAGAGCTGTCTAAAATCAAGATGAATGATCTTGTTGCTAATGGAGTGATCTTCTGGATGATTCTTCTCCTTGCATTGCAGAAATAAAGACATCCATCTTATGATGTAATTTTGTCTCTTTATTAAGGAGCTTTCCCCAGCGACTGACCTTTTTAATCAAACACAGAATCACTGTTTTAGTAGACGAGCAACAGACATGTAACATTCAGTGTTATGATTTGTGTTAATTTATGGATTCAACCAGCCCTTCTCCTGCTAGCAGCCAACCCTCTTTGTGTATTGAAAATGAGAATGTGCTCTTCAACCTGCCAAATCAAATAAGAGTTAATGATTTCAGAGTCATTGAAATGCCTTTTGTGTGTTTGCCTATTATTACCATTTTATCAGCCACGCATCAAGTGCCGATTTGCTTCAGCACACACATATCGTCTAATCAGAAAATGACTTTGGGGTTTTGTGCCTTGTGTAAGCTGAGCAAGGCCTAACCCCGAGAAGCAGACCCTGAAATACATTGAGGTGGATTAAATGAAAGGACTAGGATTAATTAAATGGATTTGGAATCAAAGAAAATGAGAAATGATTTCCTGATTGTCAATGTACAAAGATAATAAACCTTACTTTGCATTTATTGATCACTTGACAAAAACAGCAGACAGCTGTGGTGTAAATTAGTGAGCGGTAAATGGGCTGCTTCATGTCTCCTCCACACCGTGTCTTCTCAGCCAGGAAATCTATTCAAATGAGTCAGCGAAGGCAATTAATAGTATTTCAGTAGGTGTTCAGAAGCCATTTATTCGAGAGGTTTTTATGCAGATATTGAGTAGCCAGTAGAGTGTGGGCATCTCTCCACCCCAAGAATTATTTTCACCATTTCAAAACAATGCAATTAAATTTTAGATAAAATCTATTCATCAGTCGTAAACATAGCCATTAAGCTAACTGAGAAGAAAAGTAGAGCGACAAAGGCATCATCTACACAGAGTGAACACAGTACCTTCTGCAAATGTGTCTGTATACATCATTGCATCAATGTGCGTGGGTCTGTGTGTGTATACATTTCATTTGCAGCTGATATTCTCTTTCTGACTCGCTTGTTCATGTGTGTATACTCATACAACATGCAAGCTGCAAACAAAACCAAAAAAGGTTGCTTTGTTAATCCGTGAATGGTTTGTACATTGAATATTCTGTTTTAAAACCAAATCAGAAAAACAAGTAATTTTGGAAAAATGGAAAACACAAAACACATGTTTTGTTTTTCTGTTTTAACCCCAAAACGGAAAAACAAAGGAGCTGTTTTGTTCTATCTATGACCAGTGTTATATCCTTACAACCCGTTCTTACTCCCCGACTCGTCACATATGGACACATGGTCAAGAGTCAAGACCCAACAGCTTCTGTTTGTAGGCTAACTGACTGGGGATCCCTATAGACCCCTATATATCCCTATAGGTCAAAGCAGTGGGGGAAGCCCTGTAGAATCAGTTTTTGACAGTAAAGGTAGGTATATGATATTTAACAGAAAAGACGTGAAAGGAGGGCCAAAACCCTGACTTTGAACCAGGAGACCCGTGTTCGTGCTGTGTGAAACAAAAAGTCAGTATTACACATTTTTATATTTAATTTAATAAGTTGCATTGCATCTCGTCAACTTTTTGTTTTGTTTTGCAGGATCGTGTCAAGTTGGATTCAAACTCAGAGCTAGAACTAGAGCAAAATCAATTCCTTGTTTTGTCTTGTTGCTTTGCCTAGGAGCCACTTAAACACATAATTCTCTAATTTCTAGATTAAGTAGGTCAAGGAAGCATTTTGTTTTGGGCTGATCTGAAGTAGGTGGTTACCTGAGCGTTCAAAGAAAATGCCCAAATATGTTTATTGTAGTGGGAAAACGGTGTGGATTTGTGCATTTTATTAAATAAATCTGGAGATACTCCAAATTCCTCTTTTCCTCTCCCAAAGAGGAGCAGGGGGGCAACTTTCAACAGACTGCTGGAGAGACCCCAATGGAAGGGGGTGGGAAAGTTGCTTTCTTTAGCTGCTATGCCTGGGCAGTTGATCATAAAACTGGCGCCTTTCTGATTCCGAAGCTGATAACGCAGTGACTGACAAAAAGGGACACGAACCAGCGATTAACATTTCCCTGAACAGCCTATCAAAACTCTTCTCCTCCCCTCGTGCCCTGGCCTTCCGCTCTGCTCTCTGCACGCTTCACCACGCGTCCGGCGTGCCTCGCCAGGCAACACCTAAGAGTCAACCAGCGCA